TGTCAAAGCTAAAGTTTATTGGCCTCGCAGGCCTAGTAAAGGGTTTGGAATTGTTAAATGTGATGAGGCTGATGTTGGTTACTTGCTTTTTGATTTCTCTGACTTGGTAATAGGGGGGAAATCTGTTCGGTGTGAAGTTGGGAGAAAAAGTTCCGATTCTGTTGTGATAAGTGGAATTGATAAGGAGCTTTCTGAAACTGAAGTTTTTGATGTGCTTAGGACAGCAACAGAGAGGAGAATCCTGGACTTTTTCCTTGTGAGAGGAGATGCTGTAGAAGATCAACCATGTGGTAGATATGAAGAAGCACTCCTGAGAGAAATAGCTCCCTTCATGCCTAAAAGTAATCTCCATACTGCCTCATGCCGGGTTCAGGTCCTTCAGTCTGAGCCAAAAGATCTTTTCATGAAAGCTTTCATTACCTTTGATGGGAGATTACATTTGGAGGCAGCTAAAGCTTTGCAGCAGCTAGAGGGGAAAGTATTAGCGGGATGTCTTCCATGGCAGAAAGTAAAGTGCCAGCAATTATTTCATAGCTCCTTATCTTTTTCTGGTTCCATCTATTCTGTGATCAAGAAGCAACTGGATTCTTTACTTGCAAGATTCAAACTTCTAAAAGGTATCCCTACAGGCTCAACCATATTATTCTTTTCCTGTTTCTTGTTAAGGTACATGCACCTGTTAATACTGTTACATAATCATATTGTAAAATGATGTGGAACCTGCTAGCCTGCTAGCTCCTCTGCTTTTTCCGAGTTTAGTCATGTATGTTTCAAATTAGTTCTTCCTAAAATTTTGGACAGGTATTTCTATGCTTGCAGTTATGTAGAAACTTTTGGATTTCAATTTCCCATGTTTGCTAACATGAGCCTGTGCACTGAGAAATCATATGACTCTGCCATATTCTAATCGTTGTCATGGTCTAAACAAACATACAATGGTTGCATAATTCTTACGGTACAAGAGTGTTGAACCCTTGATAACTTTCTTTTTATTGAGATTTCTGATAAGTTCATGAACATTGTTCTTTACATACATTGAACCTTTTGTACTATAGTGGTGATGCTATTTGCTGATTTTAGCTTATATTGTTTTTATATGTTTTACTGCTCCTTATTAATTAATTAATGTTTCTAAAATAATGTGTTATTGCTTGAAAATAGGATTGGAAATGGCTACTGGCTATGTGTTGCATTCTGATATATTTGGTGACTTTTGTCTAATATTTGGAAGTATCATTTTCCTGTGATACTTTGCTCCTTTTTCTTCTTGTTCAATTGATGAATTGGCTCTCGTATATTTTGAGTGATAAGTTTTAGGGTTTAACCTGCAGAGTTGTTCTTGAAAACATTTACTGTAGAGGTGGAATTCATTGAAATGAGTTGAATGTCAGATATCACTTTTGTTTAAAAGCAAATGAGAAGGGAAAGGATCAATGGGGCCAAGGATTCGAGGATTTATAGGGTTTCAAGAACACCCTCCCACATGTTGAATCTTACCTTTTTTTTTGATGAATAATCTTGAATCACTTAGATTATAGGATTTTAGGACATTTTATTCTAATATTCGAACTTCTAGAATCTGCGCATTACTCTGAATGACATACCATTTTTTTTTTTTTTTTGGGCCAATCCAGTTAGTATACTTAAATCCGACATTAGTCATCAACCTTGAATCTTGTAACCTGTGTCCTGAATGATAAACTGCTATAATGGCCTAACTATAACTTAATGGAATCTAAAAGCTACTAGTTATCCAAAGTAAAGCCACCTTTCTTTGCTCTGTTGAAGCTCCTTTCTGCCAGGGTGTCAACAGCTGTAGTCTTCGGCTTCTCAAGTGGGAATTTCTTTTCTACCACTTAGGTGTCTTTGACTATTATTTGTTCAACAACTCTCTGAGCTGTTAGTGTTTGCGAAAGCATTCATGAGTACATGTCCGTATTCTCTGAAGTCTGAAAATTGAATGTGTTCACTGGTTTATATATGTGGCTTCTCAAGTGGAAAATTTGTTGCCTTATTTGTTTAACATGCCACGTACCAGCAGACAATATTCTTGATTTGAGTGTATAAACTGAATTTATAGTAATATGGTTTAATTAAATTTTCATCCATTTTCATCCAGGGTTGACAGGAATGATTTATGTCTTTTGCAGGGGTAAAATGCCATCTAGAGGAGAATGAAAATCATTCCTTTCGAGTGCAAATATCTGCCAACGCTACAAAAACAGTGGCAGAGTTGAGGAGGCCCCTCGAAGAAATTGTGAATGGCAGGACCATAAACCATCCCAGCCTCACTCCAACTGTTCTACAGCATCTTTTCTCCAGAGATGGCATCAACCTCATGAAGTCAATACAGCAAGAGACAAGAACTTACATTCTCTTTGACCGTCACAGCCTTAAAGTAAGAATCTTTGGTTCTTCTGTCAATGCTGCTGAAGCTGAGCAGAAACTGGTTCAATCACTTATGTTGTACCATGGGAGCAAGCAGCTTGAGGTTTCTCTTCGAGGCAGGGGTCTGCCCCCTGACCTGATGAAGCAAGTGGTTAAGAAGTTAGGGCCAGACCTCCATGGGCTCAAAGAGAAGATACCTGGGGCCAACTTTACACTAAACACCAAGCATCATATGATTTATATTTGTGGTGACAAAGAGCTGAAGCACAAGGTAGAAGAGATAGTTTATGAGATTGCACAAACGAGTAGTGGACCTAATGGTTCATCTGAGATGTCCAACACAGAAATTGCCTGCCCTATTTGCTTGTGTGAAGTAGAAGACGGCTACCAGCTTGAAAGCTGTTCGCACTTGTTCTGTCAATTATGCTTGGTGGAGCAATGTGAGTCTGCAATTAAAAATTTGGATAGTTTCCCTATCTGCTGTGCCAAGGAAGGTTGTCGAGCTCCGATTCTGCTTAGAGATTTGAAGGCTCTCTTGCCCATTGAGAAGTTAGAGGAGCTCTTTAGGGCTTCTCTGGGGGCATTTGTTGCATCCAGTGGGGGCATCTACAGATTTTGCCCGTCACCTGATTGCCCTTCAGTTTATCGTGTTGCTGATCCTGGAACACCTGGCGAGCCATTTGTCTGTGGAGCATGTTATGCAGAAACCTGTACTCGCTGCCATTTGGAGTATCACCCATGCATTTCATGCGAGAGGTACCGGGAGTTCAAGGAAGATCCAGATTTATCATTGAAGGAATGGTGTAAAGGGAAAGACCATGTTAAAACTTGCCCTGTCTGTGGTTATACAATTGAGAAAACTGATGGATGCAACCATGTTGAGTGTAGATGCGGGAGGCATATTTGCTGGGCCTGTCTGGAGTCCTTCGCTACTGGCGATGCATGCTATGAGCATTTAAGGTTCGTACACTCGGCCATCATATGATTTCTGACCTTTACATATTTGATTTGTGTAGCTTTACAATAATCATGTAAATAAATGGTTATCTCTTACATACGTATATATAGGTTATGCACGCATATATCCCTTAACAGGTTAAAGATCCGTCTAGGCTACTTGACAGCTCCAGTATAGGTGTTAATGCATGGCGTTCTTCTTTTCATTTCACTTGAGCCTCCTTTTGTGTTCTGATATGTAGATATTAGTTTCACAAAAAAGTATCTGCAACCAAAAGCTAATCCAACCCCGGCAACGCCAAGGCAAAACCCCAAAGCCACTAGCGATGGCATCCCACTGTGATCCTTTCCTTCACTTCCCCTCCGCTCATGACAACAATAACGCAGATGCTTTTCTTGATTCTTCCATGGTGAACGAAGTCCTGAGACTGGAATCTCATGCAACGTCATCCACTGCTTGTAAGCAGACAGCCGCAATGACTCTTTCAATGGGGCATTGGATATCCGATCCCTCTCCTTGGCCAGACTCCTCGTTTTCCCATCTGCTTCTCTTGCCCGTATCTGTGACAATCTCAGCGCTCTTAAGAGCTCCAACTTCTCATCTTCTCGATTTCTGTACATTGGAGCTCACGATCCTTACCATACTCTCTTCCCATCATGTTGCAAATCCTATTGATCGAGAAATGACCACCTTTTTTGACACGGTAAACACCTTCACGGGAGGAGGGAGATCACAATTCCGCATGAGGTCTGAATCCAATTTCTGCCAAAGAAGAGCACTCGTCATCATATCATTCTCAGCCACGGTTCTAGAACCCAACTTGGTATAGTTCTGTGCCCATCTCGGCACGAGGGGCTGCTCCATACATGCAACTATCCAATGTCTTGATGGTTTTGTGTCGAGATCGTGAAAAGGAAATTTAGTTTTGGTTTAGAAGTAGAAGAAAGAAGGAAATGAGTTGGTGAGTTGGGTGTCATTGGTTGAGGGATGAGACTACTGCAAGAAATGTTTATTTTATGTTATGGATGTAATGTAAATTCCAAGGAGGCCTTCAGTCGTGGGGACGAAATCTCAGTCCTCTTTTAGACAAAATTCATTTCCTGCAGGCTTAAACAAACGAAAACGTCAAGGTTTGGCTTCCCTACTAATGTAGAAAGGCTGAAGGGCAAAAGTCTATAGGCCTTAGGGCCCCTCTCTAGTCCCCACCTTGTCCACAAAGGAAATTGTTTCGAAATCATATGCAAGATTTTAGGTCAAGTGTACTTTTAGGTTTAGTCTCATTTTGGTCCCTCAACTTTTTTTTTTGTTACTTAATGATTCTTAAATTTATTTATTTATTAGCCAAGCTCAGTCCCTACGTTAACAGTAATATAAATGTGAGAAAAGAAAACCTTGCTTTCTGGAGCAATTGTCTGGTTATAGACGCATCTTTATTTGGTATTCTTCCACCAACTTGATAAAAAGGTGAGGAAACACTTTTTGTGAATAATTTAATCAATTATTTTACAAGTTTTTTTTTTCTTTTTTTAACAATTAAAAAAAATATGATTTCAGGGGATGTCCATTGTTTATAAATGAATATAGAAAGTTTATTGTTTTTACACTACCTCAGTAACATAGAGTGTTTGTACATTATAATAACATTTATCTTTCGCACAACAATAAAATGATTTTTCTTGTTGATAAAAAATATTAATTTTTATTTTTATCATTTTAATTATATTCTACTATAATGTGTAATGATCGTGTGAGAAGAAGTAGTTTTTATTTTTTATTTATTTTGGCCAAGAGAAATAGTACTACAAATTTTTATTGCTCAACCTGGTATGATCCCTAAAAGCCGAATTCAGAAGCCTATTTTATAATATAGATACATTCAAGAATTCAAATTTGCAAAAAATGTTTAAGATCCAATCTGGTTTGCAACAATACACGAAAATTTTCTTCAAATCTTTCACTCAATATCACCCTATGACCATGACTCAAGTCCGAGACATTTTATTTTCCATAGAAGGACAAAGGCCTTTTGAGAACCTTAGAAAGAAGTCCACGTATACATTTCACTCAATAGAATTCCTTGGGTTATCAACCTTTGCTTGAGGCAAGTCTGGGCCAATAATCGTCCTCTCTGCCTCTTTCACCGTCTCCTCTACCTGCATTGATAATCAAGAGATTCTTACTTTAAGATATCTCTACTATAATCTAAGTGAATTATATATCATGATTTTCGGACAATCTAAATTGCCTTGATTTTCTTTTCA